GCTAGCTCTACATAATGTCTTACAGAGGCTCGCTCTACAGAATGTCTTACAGAGGCTCGCTCTACAGAATGTCTTACAGAGGCTCGCTCTACAGAATGTCTTACAGAGGCTTGCTCTACAGAATGTCTTACAGAGGCTAGCTCTACATAATGTCTTACAGAGGCTAGCTCTACATAATGTCTTACAGAGGCTCGCTCTGCATAATGTCTTACAGAGGCTAGCTCTACATAATGTCTTACGGAGGCTAGCTCTACATAATGTCTTACAGAGGCTTGCTCTACATAATGTCTTACAGAGGCTAGCTCTACATAATGTCTTACAGAGGCTTGCTCTACATAATGTCTTACAGAGGCTCGCTCTACATAATGTCTTACAGAGGCTCGCTCTACATAATGTCTTACAGAGGCTAGCTCTACATAATGTCTTACAGAGGCTTGCTCTACATAATGTCTTACAGAGGCTAGCTCTACATAATGTCTTACAGAGGCTAACTCTACATAATGTCTTACAGAGGCTTGCTCTACATAATGTCTTACAGAGGCTTGCTCTACATAATGTCTTACAGAGGCTTGCTCTACATAATGTCTTACAGAGGCTTGCTCTACATAATGTCTTACGAGGCTTGCTCTACATAATGTCTTACAGAGGCTTGCTCTACATAATGTCTTACAGAGGCTTGCTCTACATAATGTTTTACAGAGGCTTGCTCTACATAATGTCTTACAGAGGCTAGCTCTACATAATGTCTTACAGAGGCTAGCTCTACATAATGTCTTACAGAGGCTAGCTCTACATAATGTCTTACAGAGGCTTGCTCTACATAATGTCTTACAGAGGCTTGCTCTACATAATGTCTTACAGAGGCTTGCTCTACATAATGTCTTACAGAGGCTTGCTCTACATAATGTCTTACAGAGGCTTGCTCTACATAATTGTCTTACAGAGGCTTGCTCTACATAATGTCTTACAGAGGCTTGCTCTACATAATGTCTTACAGAGGCTTGCTCTACATAATGTCTTACAGAGGCTAGCTCTACATAATGTCTTACAGAGGCTTGCTCTACATAATGTCTTACAGAGGCTTGCTCTACATAATGTCTTACAGAGGCTTGCTCTACATAATGTCTTACAGAGGCTTGCTCTACATAATGTCTTACAGAGGCTTGCTCTACATAATGTCTTACAGAGGCTAGCTCTACATAATGTCTTACAGAGGCTCGCTCTACATAATGTCTTACAGAGGCTTGCTCTACATAATGTCTTACAGAGGCTTGCTTTTACATAATGTCTTACAGAGGCTTGCTCTACATAATGTCTTACAGAGGCTTGCTCTACATAATGTCTTACAGAGGCTTGCTCTACATAATGTCTTACAGAGGCTTGCTCTACAAATGCCCTTACAGAGGCTTGCATCTACCATAATGTCTTACAGAGGCTTGCTCTACATAATGTCTTACAGAGGCTTGCTCTACATAATGTCTTACAGAGCTTGCTCTACATAATGTCTTACAGAGGCTTGCTCTACATAATGTCTTACAGAGGCTTGCTCTACATAATGTCTTACAGAGGCTAGCTCTACATAATGTCTTACAGAATGCTCTTAAATTGCATAATATATAATTTAAAATAACAGTCCATTAACTACGTTGTTCTGTAATAGTATTATGTTGGAGTTACTTATTATGTTAGTTAACACATAAATAATATCATTCACATGAGTAACATTGTATACTCTGAAAATAATTAAATGAATAAATAAATAAATAAATAAATAAATAAATATATATATATTCGTACATACATACATAATACATACATATATATATATATATATATATTATATATATATATATTATATATATATATATATATATAATATATATATATATATATATATATATATATATATGTATATATATATATATATATATATATATATATATATATATATATATATATATATATATATATATATATATATATTTATATATATATATATATATATATATATATATATATATATATATATTTTATATATATATATATTATATATATATACATATATATATGTAAGAATGCACCACGCAGACAAGTGGGTACATACAGAGAAAGATCGTTGTCAACAGGACTCAACGAATGCCACTTGTTTCTACGTGTTGCATTGATTTAAAAATCGCTTGAAAGGTCAGAACCTACAGGAGGAGATTGAAATAGCTTGAATCCATGCTTGAGGCTGACTGACGTGCCCGGACTGGGAAAGAAACATGGTTTGTGAACCAGGCTGCCCGGCTTATATGGCATTCCTGGCTGAGTGGATAAGAGTGCTTCCAGGGAATCTTGATCGTCCCCAGTAGCAGTATCGAGTCCTGCTGACTGTGATCTCTCTTTCTCTCTCTCTCTCTCTCTCTCTCAATATATATATATATATTTAATATATATATATTTATATATATATATATATATATATATATTATATAATATATAAAAATATATATATATATATATATATATATATATATATATATATATTTTATATATATATATATATATATATATATATATATATGTCGTGCCGAATAGGCAGAACTTGCCATCTTGGCTTAAATAGCAACACTCATTTTGCCATATAGGACAAGTGAAAATTTGTGCATGCAATAATTTCGCCAAATCATTCTGAACCTAGCGAAAAAAATATATTTCACTGGGTTTGTTTAGTATTAAATTGCTGTAAACAAATCTAAAATATATTTAGTTGGGTTAGGCTAAAATAAATTGTTCTTGTTATAATAAGGTTAGGTAAGTTTTCTAAGATTCTTCTGGTGCAAAATTAAAATTTTTTACATTAACATTAACGAAAAAAATATATCTTTAAACGTATAAGAGAAATTTTCAGAAAGGACTTAATTTTAAATGAGTTCTTGCTAATTGACCAGTTTTACATATTCGGCACGACATATATATATATATATATATATATATATATATATATATATATATATATATATATATATATAATAATATATATATATATAATGTAGATAGATATGTACATGCATGACATGCCACGGGGGATGAAAATCTTTAGCTCAAGTACTTTCACACTCCTCAGTGCGTCATCAGGAGCTATGCAATGCTGTAAGGCTGCAAAAGAAGGAGTGATGGGAAGTTTTTCACAGAATAGTGCAGTGCAGGTGTGTTCCCTGCTGCTGGCTCTCTTAGACTGTGGGCCATCGGTTAGTGTTACACCTGGCACTAACACCATCCCCATCCCCTCCCCCCCTATATGGGGTAAGAGGGTTTTGAGAAGTCAAGAATTATGAAATTAGAAGATATAATAGTCCACCCCAAGCTTTTTCTAGCCACTTAGAAGAGGTTATGTGAGTTGACAAAATACGTTTCTCCACGGATATTATATCCATGGATTGTTATTATTCTCTGTAACTGCTTTAATTAATAAAAGAAAGG